GAGAGAGAGAGAGAGAGAGAGAGAGAGAGAGAGAGAGAGAGAGAGAGAGAGAGAGCCTGAAGGGATTGATGAGAAGAGGTGGTATACCTTTAATCCTAGCACTGGGGAGGCTGAGGCAGGAGGATCATTGTGAGTTCAAGGGTAGCCTGAACTACATACTGAGACCCTGTCAAAACAAAATAGATGAAGGAAAGAAAAAAGAAAGAAGGAAAGGAGCCAGCCAGATAGCTCAGCAGACTACAGCACCTGCTTAGGCAGGCACAGTGACAGGAGTTCGATCAGAGGTTCAATCCCAGGCATGCTGTGCCAGTCCTGCCCCCGGGTTGTGCTGAGCTGGTGAATGAGACTGGGCGTGGTGGCACACACCTGTAATCCCAGCACCTGGGAGGCTGAAAACAGGAGGATTGCTTTGAGTCCGATCTGTGTAGTGAGACCCTGTAGAGCCTGTACTAAAAATACAAAAAAAAAAAAGAAGAAGGAAGGAAAGAAAGAAAGAAAATAAAAAGGAGAAAGAAAGGAAGGAAGGAAGGAAGGAAGGAAGGAAGGAAGGAAGGAAGAAAGGGCTCAGTGTGAAGGTTTAGATTCAATCTCCAGTAATGCCAAACCCCGACCACTCAGTCATCACTGTGGGCAAAGCTGGGAGCATCCTGCATATGTTATACCATCATCTCTTTGGAGACCCTACAGAGGAGGCCTTAAACCCCGTTGAGATTTACAAGGGCTTTGAGCCCCACTGGGACACTATGGGTGGTCTCTATGTCCCTAAGTCCCTAGGACAGGACTTAAACTTTGCAGACCCTAGGCAAGGCCCTGATCTTCACCAAGACCCTCAGGGAGGCTGAGACCCAGGGAGAGGGCTCCTTCCCTCACTGCTCTCTGAAGCCTTGCTGGTCCCTGGCCCCTGGCGCTCCCCACCCAGGGCCCCTGGGCTCAGCTCCCTCCCTGCATGTCCTCTGCAGGAGGCACTCACATCGCCCCAGCTGCCCGAGCCCACTGAGCACCCAGGGTCCTGGGGCAGCCTAGGCGAGGTGTGGGCTGCTGCAACACCGCCAAGGAAGACGCGGTGGAGCGCAGGGGAGCGAGGACTCCCACAGGGACTTCCGCTCCAGCTGGGAAAGCCTGGGGCTGGGCATAGGGGAAGTCCCAGGCCCAAGCTCCTGGGCAGGGGGTCTTCAGTGGGCTGAGAAAGAGCTAGCAGTACTAGGGCAGGGTGACAGAGAAAAGGGAGGTGGCCCCAGTCCTTCCAAGCCTCCCAGGCAGAGTCTGTGAGGGTCCCGTGCCTGAGGTTCCAACCCTGCCACTGGGAGGGGCTGGGGGCAGAGGACTCAGAGTCCACGCATTCTTTGGGGGTTGAGCTGGGCCTCTGGGTACCTGTCCTGGAGGGCTGAGCATGGGACGAGGTGCAGTGTCCCACAGGGCCTCAGACCTGAAGGGAGAGAGGTGCCGGGGCTGCAGGGAGAGGGGCCAGGGCCAGGACCAGGTCTGGAGAGCCTTCAGCGGCCTCCACATGGAAGGTGAGAAACAGGGCCACCTCTCAGTGCACCAACACTGCTTCTCCTGGGCTGGGATTCTTCTGCTCTCTGGGCAAGCTGGAGTGGGGGGGGGGGGTACTGAGCTGGGGTGAAGTCCTAGGGTGGGGTCAGAGTAAGCAGGCAACAGGGAGGGGCACTCTCCTCACTCACCCCCTCAACCCTGGCCACCCACTGCCACCCCACCCCCGGGAGGCACTCAGCACCCCCAGCGCTCCTGGACTAATGTGGAAAGTGCTCAGCCAAGCCTGGGGTGGGATCTGCTCTCCTGGAGACCTCGGCCCCCAGCTGCGAGCCCAGGCTAACAGGGTCCTCATTAAGACTAATGACCCTAGACCCCCTCAAGCACAAGTGCTGACGCCCAAGGAGTGCTTCCTGCAGACCCAGCACCAGGAAATGATCCAGAAATTGCAGCCTCAGCCTCCTGGCCATCTGCTGACACCAACCTCCCCCCTACCCAGGGCCTTAATGGGCCTGGTGGCAGGGTTTGGAGCCAGGAGAGATGGGCTCAGGGCTATAAAGTCGGGAAGGACCCTGCTGGACCAGCTGCATTCTGAGGCATTCTCTAACAGGTCATCCATGCTGGGCTGGGGCTCCAGGTTGACTGAGAGAGGACACGGGGTACTCCCTTGCACCAGGGGTTCTGGCTTCAACTCTGCCTCTCCAACAGGTTCTCGACCCTCCGCCATGGCCCCGTGGATGCATCTCCTCACCGTGCTGGCCCTGCTGGCCCTCTGGGGACCCAACTCTGTTCAGGCCTATTCCAGCCAGCACCTGTGCGGCTCCAACCTAGTGGAGGCACTGTACATGACATGTGGACGGAGTGGCTTCTATAGACCCCACGACCGCCGAGAGCTGGAGGACCTCCAGGGTGAGCCCCCACCTGCCAGCAGCCTTTGTTGTCCCTGTGCCCAGTGTCCCCACCCTGGTAGGAGCAGACATAAGCAGGCAGCTGCTCCTCAGGAGAGTCCACGCACTTGCTGAAAAGGAAGGCGGCCCTCCTGGCCATCTCCTCAAGAGACAACTCCTCGTGGCTGCTCGGAGACCCTGGGGTGAGGGGTGAGCGGGATGCACCCTTGAGCGGTGGCTTCTGAGTGTAGCTGGGCTCTCCTTGCACCTGCCTTTAAGTGTCTCCCTTGGCCCCAGAGCAATGGCAGCTTCTGGGGATGGATTTTTATTACACAGACTATATCTTGGTGTTGAAAAGCTCAGGGCAGCCTGGGGCCACTCATGGGGTGCCCCATCCCGACTTTCTGTCTGCCTCTGGAGCTCTGAGCTATGCCACAGACATGTAGACACAGGGCCTGGAGGCAGGAGAAGTGGGCCTCCAGTGCTCTGCGTGCCAAGTGCCCAGGCCTGTCCCCAGCAGGGCAGACCCCTTCTCCCAGGCCAGCTCACTGGGGGAAGCACCAAGAAGGAGGTGGCGTGGGACCAGGGGGCCTTCTGCTGCTCCTGACCGTGTCTTCCCCTCTCTCTTTTCCACTGCTGCGGCGCCTGCTGCTCCTGCGTTTCGGCGCTGCCACCCTGCAGTGGAGCAGGCAGAACTGGGTCTGGAGGCAGGCGGCCTGCAGCCTTCGGCCCTGGAGATGATTCTGCAGAAGCGCGGCATTGTGGATCAGTGCTGTAATAACATTTGCACATTTAACCAGCTGCAGAACTACTGCAATGTCCCTTAGACACCTGCCTTGGGCCTGGCCTGCTGCTCTGCCCTGGCAACCAATAAACCCCTTGAATGAGCCCTGCTGAGTAGTCTGTGTGTCATGGATGGGGAGGGGCTGACCCAGGTGGGCACACGCACTCCAGCAATCCACCCAGGGCTTTGCCTAAGACCCCTTCTCCATGCCCTCTTTGCCCCTAATACACCCTGAAAGTCTTCCTTTCTCTCTGAACATCCCCAGCTGTCCACATTGGCCCAGACCCAGGGCCCAGGTGGCTCCGCCCAGATGATAAGTACCCCCAGCTTCAGGTGCTGGGAAGACCATGTCCTGTACTGAGCTGCTTCCAGATGGACAGAGAGAGGGGCTGTGGGTCTCTGGGAGGTGCGGGTGATGGGCAGCCGGGAGCTGACTTCTCCTTGCTCCAAAGCCCTGGGCCTTCAAGGACCCCAGAGAACAAGTGGAGGCAGCGGACCAGAACATTCCAGTGATCGCTTCCTTCTGGCCCTCCCTGGCTATTTTGGATGGAGTCTCCGTGGAGGGAAGAAGTTGGGTGGGAGTGGAGGTTCTGCTGGGGCAGAGACTGAGCTGCTAAGGAGAATGGGCCATCCTCAGGGCTGCTTGGCTCTGGATGGGCTGGAGATAGCCTTAGCCTCCAGCCTGGACCCAACTAGAAAGCCTGGGGACCCACTAGGGCCCTGAAGGAGGAAGGCCAGGCCAGCTAGCATCCACGAGCAGCAGACAGACAGAAGGATGCCAAAGCACTGGGTGAGGCCTAGGATCCCCACCTTCTAGGGGTCCCTTGCCTGCTCACAGGGAGTCAGAGTCCACAGCCCAGGAACCAGGGCCAGGGTCTCCCTGCCGTCCTCCAGCCTCTCCCTCCTGTCAGGCTCCTTGATCTGAGAAGGAGCCTGCTCACCAGGCTCCTTTATCTGAGAAGCAGCAGTCACCTCCAGAAATGTCCCCAGACCCTGAGGATGAAGTCACATGAGGTCACATGAATCTAGACCCTTTCCCATCATGCCCACTGAGCACAGAAAATGCTTGGAGGACCAGCCTAGGTGCCACCTGCTGGGCAGACAAGAGCCCAGGGACTCCTAGAGCTGGCCATGGCCTGGAAAGTCAGCGGGTGACCCTGGCTATCCTAAGGTCTGGCCAGCCTGCCTGCCACCCAGGTCAAACCATTTTGTACCTTCCATGAGAGCGCCACCTGGCCGAGACTGGATCTGGGGCTGGCGCCCGAGCCTAGGGGCTGCAGAGCGCTCAGGACTAGAGCTGGAGAAGCCTCGTCTGCTGGGCCTCAACCACCTGGGCAGCCTCCCCACTGTAGCCCTGAGGACCACTCCCAGGTCTCTTTCTCGCCATACCCCATCAGCACCCCTCCCCAGAGATGTGGCAGGCCCCCAGCAAGCCACGCCCCCAGAGAGGGGGCCAGGACTGGGCAGGCGGGTAGACAGCCGGACACTGGACCCGGAAGAGGAGAGGGAGGAGGAGGCTGGGATCTGTCCATGGGAACACCCCGCTGGCCTGTTTGCACGGCTAGAGCAGGGGCGTCCTGCTGGAGTAGAGGTATGTGAGCTTACCACCAGGAGGGCGGCCATTGGCCAGGATTGCCTGGGCCCTGAGGGGTGAGGGGCAGATGCAGGCCCTGAGATGCCCACAGACTCCTTTTGAGGTGTGATTTGGAGTTCTTTGGGGTCCTGGCGTCTTGGGGTCAGATCAGGTTTGTAGATGTATGCTTTGGGGCTGCTTCTGCATGGTGGTGGGGACCTCAGGAGTGTCTTTCTGGGGGACAAATGTTTTGTAGATTTTCCTGGGGGACTCTCTGACCTGAGGCCTACAGGAAAGGGAAGGCCATTCAGCCCGAAGTGACTCTGCCCTGGTGGTATGCCGCACCCTTCTAAAAACCCATCCCAGCCCCGAGACAAAGGTCAGCAGGCCCCAAGCTCTTCCCATCCAGCCCCTCGGCCCCCACCACCGTGTTCTTAAAAAGGTGGGGGCAGGAGGCCAGAGACCTGTGAATGGGCAGGATCCCAACCCTGCGAGGAGTGGCCACCCCTGCACAGTGGGAGGGCTCAGGCTACAGAGGTGCCATTGAGGAACCCTCTCCCAACTGCCACCCTGGCTGCTGACCCCCAGGCTGGGCAGTGTGGACGCTTCCTGGAGCATCCAGCTCTCCTCACAGAGGCCTGGCCCACAGAATTGGCCCTGCAATCCTAGTAGGCCTCGCCTCCTCTCCACCCCTTCTGGGAACCTGGACAGTCCCCCATGTTCTGGGACCCAGACTGCCCTTGGAACCCGGGCTGCACTTGCTACACTCCTGGGGTTGCAGTCAGCTGTGTCCAGATGTGCCTGCCACCCGGTCCTTGGGGGCTGGGGGTCCATCTGAGCACTCCTCAGCTGGGGGGTAAGCAGGTGCTCTGCTGCCCCCATCTGCTCACAGCCTCCTCCAGGTGTATGGGGGTCAGGGTGTCACTGCCTGCTCTGGCCAGGTAGACCACTTCATTCACACAGCAGGAACTCTCGCACCTGTGCAAAGCAAGGGGACACCGATTCCCAAAGGTGGCCCAGTTGGTCCTCTGTACACATGGTGTGGCCTGTGCCCTGGCCCACATAGCACACTCTGCCAGGGCAGCTGCCTCCCTAGATTGCATTCACTCCTGGCACAGACACACTGGTACCTCGGCCTGGCCCAGGGTGGTGTTTGCCTTCTCTGGTCAGCGGTAAATATTTGCTGTCCTCATGGCTCTCCAGTCCTGAGGGCCACGAGAGTGGATGCAGGGATGCCGGGGTCGACCCCTGTCCTGGAGGACCCAGTGACACATAAGCGTTAGCCTAGCACAGGTGTCAGGGCCACTGGGTCTGGGCAGGGTGGCTCTGGGTGGCTCTGGGCAGTGCTCAGGGTGGGTGTCCAACCAAGGTGTGAGTGAAAAGAGACTCACGGGAGCCGCCTGCCGGCTGATGGGACGGTGTACCAAGGTGGACCAGACGCTATGGCCAGGAGTGGACATTCAAGGAGTGGCCAGCAGAGGGCACCAAAGTTTCACTTTTGTGGCACTTCGGGCCTGCATGTTCATCTTGTGACCTGCAGGTCCTTCTGGCAGAACATTCTGCCCTGGACTTGGAAACGTGAAGTGTAGGGAGGAAAGGAGGATTCTGGGGTGCAATCCCAGCCAGGGTCAGCCCCAGGCCAGACTTTCAGTGACCCAGGCTTCCCAGAGGTGAAGAAACAGCTAGACAAAAGGTAGGGTTCATAGTACTTGGGAACATCTCCTGCTGCCCCATCCTGTCTCCTTCCCCCGGAAATAGAAACCTCAGGGAATCCCTAGTGAGGAAGCTTTAGGGTTGGCTCCAGCTGAGCCACATGTCATGGCGTGGCATTCACTAGGGTCCACGCAATCTATATCCAGCTAGGAGACTTTGCTGTCCTCCAGGCCCTGGGGGACACAGGCTGGAGGTAAAGAGGTGGCAGCACATCCCTGTCAGTGATATCCCTCTCTGTTTGGGGCCATCTGGCCATTCGAGCCAGAAGGCTGAGTCCTTCTGACATAGGAACAACAGCCTTGGCTTTACTTGAGGTCAGGCTGGTCCAGCGCTGGTTCTCTCCTATGCTTTTTCTCCATCCATGCTGAAAGGTCAGCTCCAGGAGGAACGTTCAGGGTGGGTGGTGGACAAGGGTCTGAGAACAGCAGACCTGAGCTGGGGTGTGCTGTCCACACCAGCCCCCCCCCTCTATTGTTTCTGGCCTGACCACAGGAACAGCGCGGCAGATTCCTTCGAAAGTGGAGCCTGCTGGAGATGGCCTCCCCATCAGCCCCATGTGGCCCAGTCCCGCTGCGCTGGCGCCGGGCCCCCCACCATCCCTCCCACCTCCCTCAGTGTCCTTAGCTCACTCCCTACTTCCTGCCCAGCTGTGGCTATCGGGAATCCTGTCCCTGACCCACAGACCCCTGTAGCTGCCCCTGGGGTTGAGCCAAAGGGCCTGAGAGCCTCACTGTCCAAGGCAGGGGTATGAGAAGGGGTCTAGGAACCTGTGGGCCATAAATGAACAAGATCCTCCCAACCCAGAGACAGCCTGGCCGTGTGTCCCGCACTCCCCTCACCAGAAGATGCCCTGTTCATCTAGAGCCAGGGCCAACTCTGAGTCAAGGCCACAGGCTCTGGGGGCTGAGCTGAACCCCAATGTCATACCCAGCACCCCATTGGGGACCACTGAGCCCCCTTCTCCCAGAGACAAAGATCAGCGTCGAGGCTGCCTTACTTGAGGGTCCATGGACACATGGGCTTCCTGGAGGCCCCACCCGAGCATCTCAGAGCGAGGCCTCAGAACCCAGCGGCCAGCACTGACCCACATTCCACCAGGGCCTCCCTCTGGCCCTCCCCGGCCCATCTGTGTTTGTGGAAAACAGAGTCTGAGCCCAGCAGCCCTGCCAGGCTGAGGCTGCTCACGCTGACTCCAGTACACCCCTCTGCTCTTCAAAGTCCACCCTCATGCAGAACTCAGTCCTGTTCCAGCCCAGCCTCTGGCCCCCTGCCCACCCCAAGACCCAATGCCTTGGGACTGCAGAGGAACCCTGGGAAATTCCCTTACCCTCTCCAGGCCCTGAGGCCTTAGCATGGGTCAGCCACACAGGGTGGCCTGGTGGGCAGTTTCTACAGGACTGGGAAGAAGTAGCCCTTGAGACCCTGGATCGACTGAGGCACCGGAGGCAGTGCTCTGGCCATAGCTGCCTGGCCCCCTGAGCCTGACTATGAGGTTCAAAGACTGTATCAGAGGCAGGAGCTTGTGGAAAGCATGTTCCTCTGGAGGGGTAGCAGGGGAAGGTGCACCACCTGGGCCCAGCTGTGGGAGAGGAGGAGGGAGCTCCACTGAGATGTGGGGGTGAGGGCGGGCAGCCACCCAAGGGCAGCCCTAGAGGCACAAGCAGAACTCAGAAGAGCAGGCGGCTTCCTCCCCGGTAGCTGCTGTGGCCCTGACCTGTCCCTGAGAGTTCCTTCCACACCAGCACCAGGATCACAGGGGCTTGGCAGCTGGGAGCATGTGGAGCTGGCTCCTGGGCTCTTGCCCGTGGCCAGGCACAG